GTCTCTCTCTCTCTCTCTCTCTCTCTCTCTCTCTCTCTCCCCCTCTCATCTCTTTCTCCCTCTCTACCTGAGGGCTGGACTTTGTGCAAAAATGCTAAGTGTAGTGATATTACTACAACTTTTCAAATACTCTGGGAATGAAAACTACTTATCTAGCAGCTGACATCTGAGAGATCAGTGTTAAACTCTCTGCCTCCAGGTTTCCTAGCAAATCTGCTTCTGCTTTTCTCTAGAACCAAAGAACCTCTCTTTCATGCATGCATGTATTTATTCATTCATTCAGAGATCACCTCTTGGCATGCCTGCCACATATTAGATGCTGAGGGAAACTCATATATAAAGGTAGCCTTCATGGGGACTGGCACTACAAGATATCATTCATTTTCTCCCCTTTATACAGGTGTCTGAAGCAACGATGGCAGCAGTACCTGAACTCACCAGTGAAATGATGGATTACTACAGGTCAGTGGGAAGACTACAACCTGTAATGCAAACAGAGTTCCTCTTTTAAGACTAGAGTATTATCTGTGTTTGCAGAGAAGAATTGTTCCCCAAATTGCTTCTATCAGTGGCAAACAAGGTTCCAAGTAAACTTGGTTTAAAGACTGATTTCACACTACAAGTCCAGGCTTGGGACCCCAAGGCCATCTGGCTATTGCTGCTGCAAGGACACAGACTTCCTGCAGATAGCAAATGGGAAGAAAAAATTCCACGTGGATAATACTTGGAACCTCTTTGCAAAGTTTGGCTTATAGGAGAGGGAGAGCTCAGGTTTTAGCAGACTCTACTGGGCTGGAGATCAGGCCTCAGGATCCAATGGGAGCACCCAGGGTAGCTACCTACCAAACTCAGAATCTTCCTCTAGAGATCACCATGGAATATGCCAGAAGTCACCAGGTAGCTTTGAGTGACACGCTGTTTGTAGTGAAGACTTGTATGCAGAGAAGGAAGAATAATCCTGTTTAGGAGACATAATTGAGCTATGTCTCTGTTTTTATTACAGTGGCAATGAGGATGACCTCTTCTTTGAAGCTGAAGGCTCCAAACAGATGAAGGTAAGACTATGGGAATAGCTCCCAACTCACAGAGGGGTTCTGACACAGGAAAAGCTCCAAGAAAAACGTTCTGGGACACTTTGTTTCTATGGTATTTTGTGATAGAATGGCTCTCACCTCTTCCAGGGAGACAGATACAGGCTACATTACATGCTGACCTGGCCTTTACAACACCCTAGTCACTCATTAACCTTGGGCAACTATGCTTGGTGAGGGCAACAGGGTGTGGTGATGATCTTTGCTATTGCATGCTAGGAAGTTAGCAAGTCTTCAACACAAATTTGGTTTTTCCTTTTAGGGTATGGGTTAAGCTTAAGCTAATGACTTGAGTTAAACTCTAAACCCAGAGAACATGATTTTGAGTATTAACATATGTCTTCCTCCTTGATAGCAGACATATATTCCATGGGGTGGAACTTATGACAAGAAGACATAGAAGAGATAAACAAAAAGATGCACTCAAATTTAAAAGAATACTTGTTGTTTGACCTTGGACAAGTCATTTCGCCCTTTGAAACTCATCTAAAAACCAAGGGGCATGAACTATATAATCTCTGAGATGCTGGCACCCTGGAGCCTTAAGTTCTGAAATACTTTCAATCATAGCTAAGTTCCTCCCAACAAATGGGCATTTTCCAGAGGGCCATGTGATATTCCTGTTGTCTCTTCTTCTTTTGTGATGTTCACTTTCCTAGGGGGCCCAACCCAAACCTAGAGATCTCTTCTTTGTATTCCAAGCTTTTAAACCATTATTAATACCTTAGGGCTTAACCTCAGTTAAGCTATAATAGAGAGTTTTTCTGGGTAAGGGATAAGTGATAACCTATTTCACAAAGAGTACCCACTCTTACAGGATTTACAGAATGCCTATGAGACAGTGCTCTGAATAAGAAAAATTGCAAAGTTGCTGAGTAAGCCTAGGTGAATAGAGAATGTAACGATCATCACTGTCATGAAAAATTAAATCATATTGTTAGAGTATTAGTGACACTAAAAGATATAAAGCCTACGAAGGTGTAAGTGTATGAGGTATGTGGGGAATGTATAAAAAAGATAAACAAGGTAGAAATGGGATTTATTCTAAAAAAAAATAGAATACAAGGTGTCAGAAAGGCCACATTCTAGTTTGGGGTCTGCCTCTAACTTGTCATGTGCCTTTGGGAAAGCCACTTAACCACTCTGGGCTTGAGAGAGATAAGGATTATATTAAGAGCTTGGCCCCTTCTGCCCCTCTGATGTTGAAGCGGGAGTTTGCTGGCTGGACCACTGGACCACACTCACTCCCTGGTCTTCTCCACAGTGCTCCTTCCAGGACCTGGATCTCTGCCCTACGGATGGGGGCATCCAGCTACACGTCTCCCACCAGCACTACAACAAGGATTTCAGGCAGGTTGTGTCGCTGATCGTGGCCATGGAGAAGCTGAGGAACAAGCCAGTTCTCTGCCCAAAGGCCTTCCAGGATGGCGACCTGAGCACCTTCTTTCCCTTCATCTTTGAAGAAGGTATTTAGCGGCAGCTGAGAGCAGGAGAGTAGATCTCCGCTTCCATCCTTCTCAAAGACTATCAGTCAACAGTCAGCTGAACTCCCCCAGAGTTGAAACTCTTTAAAGGTAGAAGGCCCAGCAATGAGAAGCAAATGAAGAAACTTAGATACCAAATCAATTATCTCTTTAGTTGAAACTATTTTTAAAAGAAGACCTTGCTAACTATTGACATTTGCAAATTCCTCACCATTCTCAGCTCCTTTCACTTATATTGATTGTCCCCTACAAGCCTGGGCTGCTGTTATGAGTATTTCACATAGGTAGCTCTGTTGCTAGCCCACAGTGAGTACTAACAGAGCTGAAGCTTGAACCCATGTCTTATGATGCCAGATACAATGTTCTTGCCCACCCACCCCCACTCCTCCCCACCAATGCTATAGTCTGGCTCTGACTGTACCTATTCAGATATCCTCCAAGAAACCAAACTCTGGCACTTCACATCACGAGGCCTGCCCACCTGCTTTTATGACTCAGTAACATATGTGCTTCACATTTCAGAACCCATCTTCTTTGACACATGTGACGATGACTGGGTGTGTGATGGACGTGTACGGTCACTGAACTGCACACTCCGGGATGCTCATCAAAAATGCCTGGTGATGTCTGGCGCATATCAGCTGAAAGCTCTCCACCTCCAGGGACAGGATCTGAACCACCAAGGTAATGGAGACTTCTTGGTTTCCCTTCCTGGCCTCCTGGCAGCTTGCTAATTGTGCATGTTTTGAGCAAAGTAGAATGTTAGGGCATGTGATCAACCTAAGTGAAGAGAAACGTTAAAAAGAACGCATACACTTTTGTTTAGGTCCTAGCAATGACACCAGTTTGATTGTGTGGGTATGTGCTCTTTTTAGCAAGAGGTATAACTTCAAGAAATTAGACAGCTCAGGCCTTGCCAGGCCCATATCCTGCCAAGTCACTGAGGCATAGAACAATGTCAACTCTTCCAGGATATGCGGCCATTTGATGGACATGCCCTAACTGCCTGTGGGTTCTTTCTCCCCATTGCTGAGGTGGAAACAGGAGCAGTGACGTGATAATGTGCCTATCCCCAGACCCACTTCTGCCCCCTTTCCCCAGCATCCTTCCTGCCCAATTCCAGATGGTGCCTTGCCAGATGGTGCCTTGTGGGGAAATTTTACTGACCAGCAGAAACATATCTTTCTGCTGTAACTGGCAAATGTTTCCAGTGTGGGAGCTTATCATTAGCTGGGGAGACCTGCTTGGCACTGTGCCACTGTGTCTAGAGCCCACTTGCAAGGATGTGGGAAAGGGAGCAGAAACACTGGAGGGCAGTGTCACTAGGGATAGCTTCCTGCTCTCAGCCAGACCAAGAGCATCCTGTTTCTTTAGAACTGCATGGTGACCATGGCCGTAGGGCCTGAAACTGAGACCACTGAGACTAAGGAAGATCAAAATTGAGTGTCTCTCTATAGAGCTACTTTTCCCAGCCAAGCTTCTTTACTCCCAGTTCTTCCCACCAACTATCTATGTTCCTAAAACAGCCCTGCTGCCTGCTTTCTTGCAGCAGCTCTGCTTCACCTCTTTCCTAGCTTTCCACATTGATCAAATTGTTCTACTTACACAGATGGACACACTGCCAGTGCGAAGCACTTAAAAATTAGGCCCTTGGCTGGGCACATTGGCCCATGCCTGTGATCCTAGCACTCTGGGAAGATGACAGGAGGAGGATTACTTGAGTTCAGGGGTTCAAGATCAGCCCAGGCAAAAGCAAGAACCCATCACTACTAAAGATAGGAAAATTAGTTGGTGTTGTGATGGGCAACTGTAGTCCTAGCTGCTCAGGAGGATTGCTTAAACCCAGAAGTTGAGGCTGCTGTGAGCCAGGCTGATGCCATGGCACCCTAGCCTGTGCAAAAGAGTGAGACTCTGTCTCAAAAAAAAAAAAAAAAAATTAGGCCCTCCTTTATTCTTCATTGCCACTGCTATGAGGACCTAAGAAACCCTGGGACCTTTACTGGGGAAACCTTGAAAGAATAAATTGATCCCACTATCATCTGTAAGGAGCCAAGCTATCCTTTCTGTCAGGCCAAAGAGCCTCACTGTGGGTTCCCACAGAGGATGCTACATTGTACAAGTCCTGCCCATGAGGTCCAGGGGTTGGGCTGGCCCTGCACCGCTGTGTTCCTAACCACAAGACCCCACCTCTTTTCTTCAGTGGTGTTTTCCATGAGCTTTGTACAAGGAGATGAAAATAGTGACAAAATACCTGTGGCGCTGGGCCTCAAGGAAAAGAATCTGTACCTTTCCTGCGTGATGAAGGATGAGAAGCCCATCCTACAGCTAGAGGTGAGTGTCAGGGGCTGAAGCCCTTCTCAACATCCAGCTGTCCCTTCTCCTTGTCCCCACCTGACCCCCTGAAATCGGGGAACAGGTCTATTTAACAATGTTGCATCAACATAAGTAAATTTAATGTAAGTTTTTAAATGCATGCAAGCTTCACTCCCACTGTAGACAATCAAATCATTTTGTTGATGTTATTATGTCCTGCCATTGTTACCACCCCAGCAGATTATGTTTGTTAGGGTTGCTCTAGTTTAATAGATGACACTTCGGGAAACCAATCAAAAGGACTTAGCATCTTCCCCACATTGTCCCCTCCCACCACCACAAACTCCAGCTTTCCCAGCAAAAGCTTCATTTCCAACTTGATGTTATTCTAGCCAGAACCGTAACATAAGGGAAAATACAGCAGAAGCCCCTGGCAACTATGAAACATAAGAAGCTTTAGGTTAATTTTCATTTTTTAAAAAAAATTCTCACTAAGATTATGCTTCAGAATTTTATACTAAGTTCAGAGAATAAGGGCTCTTTCAGCAAGCCCACAAAAAGGTGGAGGAGCCCCAAAGATAAGGCAGGAGCCTGGTTCCTGATCCTGCAGCCTGCACATCCATTTCCTCTCTAGCTGACCCAGAGAAGAGTATTACCATAGCATCTTTGCCCCTTCCCTCACAAAAAGTCTTCTTTCTTTTTTGCTGCAGAGTGTGGACCCTAAAAGTTACCCAAAGAGGAAGATGGAAAAGCGATTTGTCTTCAACAAGATAGAAACCAACAACAAGGTGGAATTTGAGTCTGCCCAGTTCCCCAACTGGTACATCAGCACCTCTCAAGCGCAAAACATGCCCGTCTTCCTGGGAAAGACCAAAGGTGGTGAGGATATAGTGGACTTCACCATGCAATTCTTATCTTCCTGAAGAGAGCTATACCCAGAGGGCCCACATGTGCTGAGTGTGTAGACTCAACTCCCAGGGCTGGCAGAAAAGAACTAGAAAGATTTTGAGTGTGCTGCAGGCTGGACTTTGCTGTTGTCTACCCCAAGGCCCAGATGCCTTTCTTGGGGTAGGGCTAAGATCTCCTGCCCACCTGCCAGAGGATCAGCTCTCTCTTCCTAGGTCTCTTCTGCTGAGCCAGGTCTCTCTCACCTCTCCTACCCACTCAAAACCATCCTGACAGAAACCATGGCACATTTGGTTCAAAGAAATCCTCTATCCTTTGTTCCCCAATTCTGATGAGCAGCCATTTAACTGTTTATTTATTTATTTATTTGATGGGTCTATTTAATTTAACTCAAGAGGGCCAAGGCCATTTTAATATCTATTGAATCAACTGAATGTGAACTGGGGTGCTACCCTCAAATCAAGTCCTTTTTCTGAAGCTGAAAATAAATAACCTCATATTATTTAAATGGGACTATGTATAAATGAGGACAAATGCTGGAACTCTTTTAATGGTTCTGAAATAAATTTCACAGAAAAAAAAATTGTCTACCCTGATAATTGACTTGTCTTGGATGTGATAGCTGAAGGTGAAGATAGATGGGGTCATGAGTGTTCTCCACAGGGAGCTGGAGTTGCTCACTGCTGAGGGCTGCAACACATCAAGGAATATCCCTGCCCACCAAAAACAAGCCTCCCAACCCATTTCCTTTATTTCTGTTTCTCAACAAAGTATATTCAGTGCATATCTGGAAAATAGGACCAGCTGAAGCTTTATAGAGGGCAAAGGTTGGTGGTAATAGGTGCCAGTGATTATCCATTATTGATCAAATAGTATGGCTAGGAGTACAGAGACAAGAAAGGTTAGAAGTTTCTGGATAGATAGGAGAGGAAGATAAGCACAAGCAAAAATAGGGCAACGTGACAAGAGTACGTTAAATACCAAAGGAGAGGCCAGGAATGAGTGAGGACATCTGCTAAGAAAGATGGAGGGACAAGGAGAGGGACAAGGAGAGTGACATACAAGTCAGGCCTAAAGGGATGAGCAGAAGTTCTCCAGATAGAAGAGAAAAGAAGGGGTATTCCAGATAGAGGCACCAAAGTGAACAAAGGTATGGGGGTGTAAGAATGAATGATGTAAAAAGTAAACTTTCAGGATTGATGAGGTCACCAGAAACAAAACACAGCACAGACCAGGGCAGGCCAGGCGCAGTGGCTAATGTCTGTATTCCTAGCACCCTGTGACTGCTGGAGCTCAGAAGTTCAAGATCAGTCTGAGCAACAGTGAGACCCTGTCTCTGAAAAAAAAAATCACTGGGTGTTGTGGTGGGTGTCTGTAGTCTCAGCTACTTGGGAGACTGAGGCAAGAGGATCACTTGAGCCCAAAAGTTTGAGGTTGCTGTGAGCTGTGATGCTCCAGCGCGACTGAGTAAGACTCTGTCTCAGGAAAAAAAAAAGACCAGGGCAAAAATAATTGTTACTCATATCCCAGATAAAGGGATCATTTCTTTAACATATAAAGAGCTACCTCAAAACATTAGAAAAAGCAAGAGTAAAAATCCAACAAACAATAAGCAAGGGATATTAACAAGTTATAATAGACAAGGGAATACTATTAGAGTTTGGACAGAGTAAAAAGATTTTTTACATCACTGGTAATAAGAAAGTCAAATTAAAAGCTCCAGATAGGCTCAGCGCCTGTGGCGCAAGCAGCTAAGGCGCTAACTATATTCACCAGAGCTGGCGGGTTCGAATCCAGCCTGGGCCTGCCAAACAGCAATGACAACTACAACCAAAAAATAGCCGGGAGTTATGGCAGGAGCCTGTAGTCCCAGCTACTTGGGAGCCTAAGGCAAGAGAGTCGCTTAAGCCCAGGAGTTGGAGGTTGCTGTGAGCTGTGACGTCACCGTACTCTACCCAGGGCAATAGCTTGAGGCTCTGTCTCAAAAAAAAAAAAAAAAGCACCAGATACAAATATTCTCCTATCAGATTGACAAAACTCAAAGGTTTAACACACACCATGTTGGTGAAACTGTGGGGAAACACCACTGTTGAGCTTTACACATGGGAGTATAAAGTGACATGACCTCTGTAGAGGAAAATGTGATAACAACTATGAAAATCACAAGCTCACTTCCCGGCCGGGCACAACAGCTCACAACTATTATCCTAGCACTCTGGGAGACTGAGGCAAGAGGATCCCTTGAGCTTGGGAGTTCAAGACCAGCCTGAGCAAGAGTGAGACGCCATCTCTACTAAAAATAGAAAAATTAGCCAGGCATTGTGTCAAGTGTCTGTAGTCCCAGCTACTCAGGAGGCTAAGGCAGGAGGATAACTTGAGCCCAGGAGTTTGAGGTTGCTGCAAGCTAGGCTGATGACACGGCACTCCAGGGCATTATAGGCTGGGCAACAGAATGAGAACATGCCTCAAAAAAAAAAAAAAGATGTGCTTCTCCTTTGGCCCATCAATTTCACTTCTGGGGATTTATCCCACAGATGGACATAACCCATGTGAAATCACAAATGATAAATGATCAAACTTACCCATTACAGCACTTGTAACAGGAAAAATTATAAATAACTCCAAGTGTCTATCAACAAGAGACTGGCTAAATGAATTATGGGATATGGACTACTATGCAGCTATTAAAAAAGAAAAAACATACTCTCTGCACCAGCACAGACTCTTCTCCAAGATGTGCTGATAACTGAAAAAAAGCAATTCCAATCATGTTTATGGAGTGCTACATTTATGCAACAAAGGTCAAAGGGGAAAAGGCAATACATTCCACTGTGATTATAATTGATGTGAAAAATTCTAGAGGATGCCTCAGAAATGAATGAAGTATTTGTGGGAGGCTGGCAAATAAAATATGGGAACGGGAATGGAAGCAAGACATTTCTACATATGTATTTTATATAGTTTGATTTTTGTATCATGTAATTATATTACCTACTCAGAAATAAAATAATAATTTTTAAAACCTTTGTCCTGGCTTGGCACCTGTGGCTCAAGTGGCTAGGGTGCCAGCCACATACACCTAAGGTGACAGGTTCAAATCCAGCCTGGGCCCGCCAAAAACGACAATGATGGCTGCAACCAAAAAATAGCTGGGCATTGTGGTGGGCGCCTGTGGTCCCAGCCACTTGGGAGGCTGAGGCAGGAGACTGACTTGAGCCCAGGAGTTGGAGGTTGCTGTGAGCTGTGATGCCAGAGCACTCTACCCAGGGGGATAACTTGAGGCTCTGTCTCAAAAAAAAAAAAAAAACCTTTGTCCAAAGAAAAGAAAATCATATGCCTTATTGTGGAAAAACAATTGCTGAAATGTGCCGGTCCTTAGCAGCTCACTGCCAATACCCTCTTCTCCTTTATAGCTCTCCAAGCCAGGGCAGAGGACAGCAGAGTCCCTCTCTGGTCTCTGTCTGCTTCATAACTGTAGTTCAGTGGGTCACACCTGTAATCCTAGCACTCTGGGAGCCCAAAGCAGGTGGATTGCTTGAGCTCATAAGTTCGAAACCAGACTGAGCAAGAGTGAGACCCCCATCTCTAACAAAAATAGAAAAAGTAGCCGGGCATGTAGGTGGGCGCCTATAGTCCCAGCTACTTGGAGGACTGAGGCAGGAGGATCACTTGAGCCCAGGAGTTTGAGGTTGCTCTGAGCTAGGCTGGTGCCATGGCACTCTAGCCTGGGCAACAGAGTGAGACTCTGTTTCAAGGACAAAACAAAATAAAACAAAAAGATGTCATGGCTATTGGGAACAGTCACCCAAGTGGCACTCATTCTGCAGAACAGAGCTGGTGACAGGTAGGCAGGTGGTCTAGAAAGAAAGCAGAAATGCCTGTGAGCCCCAGCTGCAACACTGTCCCCTCCACTCACCCCTCTCAGGACCAAGAGGAAAGTCATGCCAGGAGGAACGACAAACTGTGAAGCCATCACATGCTTTGAAAGAAACCCAGATTCCAATCATCTATGTACTGGCAAATGAGCACCGCTAGTTTAGAGAGAAAATTGGCAATGTCTACTTTGTTAAAAAGCATGCGGTATGGCTCAGAAATTTCACTATTTAGTGTCTTCCCTAAAGAAATAATTTCAAGAATATCTACTAGTAGGTTATTTGTAAATATTTAACAAAATCAGCTGGAAATAACCTAAATATCCATTAGTAGGGCAAAGGTTAAATAAACCGCAGTAAGTTAAGAAGAAAGGAGATGGTACTGAAATAGAAGGTTATCCAAGCAGATCATCCCAAGAAAAAGGTGAACTGCGGAACAACAAGCACAAAGTAGTAGCATTTATGGAAAAGAAAATACGGTTCACGTCCAAGGTGGACAAGCTTGTCCTTCTAATGGTAAGTAAAGGCAGAGAGCTCCAGAAGGATACTGACCTGGCTGAACACAGTGGTTATTGACAGAAGGGTGGGGCAGAGGAAGAAGTTGTCAAGAGGAACTTTAGCTTTGTTTACAACATTTGAGTTTTTCACAGAAAGAATATATTTGTGAATTACTTATGTCATTATTTTAAATTTTCTCCATTGAGATGTTCAGAAGGCTTTGGTTCCAACTATGGGATCTGAGCCAAAGACTAAAATTGACCCTTGGCTCCAAACCAAGTTCTCTTCCTGATGACCCCACCGCATTTCTCTGTGCCATATGTCCTGGGCCTGAAATAGAGAAATGACCTGCCACTAACTGGAAAGGGTCAGATATTTTGAGTGGGAAAGCCAAGAATCCTCCCCGGATCTGACCAAGTACACAAAATACAGTTGGAATAAGGAAGTCTTTCTGATGGGCTGGGAAGTCAACTGCACTTCCAGTAGGTAACACAGCACACCTCCATAGCACCCAGCAGCTTCCACAGAGAGCCTGAGTGCCCGGGAGGCAGAAGGCAAATGCTCGCTAACTCCGCCCGATGTCTCAGATTCTGTGGCAGGCAGAGTGTAGCTTATCCTATAGGCTTAGGCTGGAGGCGGCAAGTATCTGGTTGGAGGAAGACGCAGGATACAATGATGTGTGAGATAATTTCTGGTTTCAAAGATTCAAAGACAGCCAGGGAGGTGGGGGTGGCGGCTGTTACAAATGCCCCGGTCAGAGGTGCAGGGTAAGTTCTCTCGTGTATTCTGTACAGATCTCTCCGACCCATTTCCTCATCCCCCAAACAGCCTTGCTGAGCCACCCACAAACATCCGGTGTCCAGGAGTGAAGGGCCACAGTCGGCGTCTCCTCCCACTTCTTAGCACATCTTACCCACATCCTGAGTCCTAAATTAACAATGTAGAAGCAAGCTAAGTGATAAAGTTTTCTCCCTGGAAAGTCCAGAAGCGCTGCTTTTCTTATTTGCATAAGCATGATTATTTGCTTACATAAATAATCATGAAAATCAAATCCCTCTCAGAAAGCAGGTCAAACAGCCACGGAAGGCAGCACAGGTCAGCATCAGCAGGACAGATGGGGCTGGGAGGAAGCAAGAAGGGTTCCGGCTCCCTGGC